GCGGCGGAGAAAAGCTCACAGGAGAAAAGCTCACCGGAGAAAAGCTCACCGGAGATAAGCTCACCGGAGAAAAGCTCACCGCAAAACCGGCAGATGCGGAGAAAAGCTCACCGATATTTTCTTAGCTTAGCTTGATTCTGCGTCAAACTTGGTCGTCACTTCATTAAAAATATGTCCTCGTTTTTGTAATATTCTTGAGGTTCATTGGGCATATTTACTATTTCTTCAGAAATTAGTAATCACCCATTCTGTAAATTATTGAAGCCGCAAGTTTAAAATCAGAACATCGTACACCGGTAAAAAAGGCAACAATTTATTGACAGCTGAGGGTGCGCCGTCGGTACTTCTGTCAGATAAAGAGGTTTGTTTTTTTGCGAGCCAATATGAATAGCAGTGTGTGAATCGCTTGAGGTCCAAATATTGTGTAGTGCCTAATAGATAAGTAGATGCTTGTTGATGTCATCAGTGTCGGCTACGCTGTTTTCTTTCTGTTAATTTCACTAACAAAACTTTAGTTGCGAGAACAGCTTCGTCGTGTCGTGTTTGTTGCCTTCACTCGGTCGTCGTCGTTTGAGCGGTTTTCATCATGTATAACGTTTACCAACTCTCCCAATTCGCTACCTACCTTACAAAAAAAAATAGTTCTTATATAGCTCACGAGTAACAACGGTGACATTGCGCAGCTCTGAGGGCCATGGGTGGCTCACCGTAGAAGGCGCTATCACACAAAGGGAACGTGTGGAAACACCATGCAGCACGAACGGCTAGAAAGCGTGCATGTCCGTGGAAAAAAAGAAGCCTCGATATCCTATTGACAGCTTTATCCTGCTTTCAAATGTTAACAAAAGCTTCAAAGAGAATTTCAGGCACCGTGTTGTTGCGCATGCACTTTTGGATTTTCGGCTTTTACACCTTTGATTTTTATGTTTTAGGCAGTCATCATTACGATTTTTTTTACTTTTTCCTGTTTTTAAGTTTATAAAGATTTTAGTTAGGCTTTCGTTGCATAAAAAGCCACAAAAAACACACTCCCGCAATTAATAATTTGGGAGCAATATACCCAATAAGCTTAACAAATATTACAAAAGAGGACATTTTATTTTTTACAAAGCTGACAAATTTTAATGATAATAAATTGATATATGTTACGCTCGATCCAACAGCCTCCATATAAAAAGAAGAAAAAATATCGGTGAGCAAATTTTCTCCGCATACGCTCAATGGCCGGTGAGCTTTTCTCCGCATCCGCCGGTTTTGCGGTGAGCTTTTCTTCGGTGAGCTTATCTCCGGTGAGCTTTTCTGCGGGATTCCAAATGATTAACGAAAGAAAAGTAAATGCACTCTACAAAAACGTTTATATATATAAAAGACTTCGTACGGCTTCCATTGCCGCGCCCGCTTATGCAACCTAAAAGGGTACTGATAAAACGCATGCGGGAGCGCTACGTGCTCCGCATTGTTAGCGGGGCTAGTGACGTCGCTTCCCACTTCGCAATCTGCCACTGCCGCGGCAGGTTATGCAACCGCAGTCTACCGCGAAACGCATGCGGGGAGCGCTAGGTGCTTCGCATTGTTCGCGCGCCTCATTATCTATAATATGATTTAACAAGTGCCAAGAGCACTGATACATGGTAAGGCTCGCGCAAGTACTGACAAGGCGCGCGCGATGGTTTTCTGTTGACTATTCTGTCGACTTCTCTTCTGTCGGCAGACACGAAAAAACCCGATCAACGAGTTTTATCATCTTCGCTGTAAGATGAAAAATGTCCAAAGGGTACTTCTCAAGAAAACGTTTTACGTAAATAATCAGGAGGTGCCTGCTGTATATATAGATATATAAATTAGAGCTATACGCGTTTTAAACATAAATTAATGAAGGTGTTTTCATGACAATCCCTTTCGAATGTTATTTTAATGTCGAGATACTTTTGTAAGCCAATTCTCACACCTGTCAGACGGAAATTATTTTCAAAATACCCTTCCCTCACTCTCTCGCCCCTGCTAGAATGCTTATAACGTCGAACATGCACGGTGATCGTACATCTTACCTTTATTATACGGTACAGTGCAAGAAGAAAGGTTTGTACGCCTGCTGAACAATGAAACCAACCCCCTTTCGTCCGCCATTTCGACCGTGACCAGCGTGCCCCCCTTCGATCTTGGGAGTCTAGAATGTCTCACGGTTTGTCCTTCTGTTGTGATTTTGGGACAAATAGGAAGGCTGTCGAGCATGAGTATTGCCTTATTTTTGAAGAAAGGACTGAAGAATGACGTTTGCAAATTAGGGTTTTGAACGTAAAGCTATTGTTTTTGTTTCCTTAGTTTCTGCAATATGCTTCACCCAATGTTGGCTGCCCCAACAACTGAAGATACATTTGCCAGCACGTTACATGGGGGCACGGAACCGGCTTCGGGTGAATTTTTTGTTTGTGAATTACAACCAAATACGGGGCATAAAAATACGAAAACTTTCGTGGTCATGATCCAGATGAAAGTTGCAAACACCGACATACTTTCCTCAACCAACCAGCTGTGAGACGTTTGTCGGTGCTTATTAATTTGCTCTTTGACGATTGACATTTACTGGAAGGCTTTATTCTGGTAGACCAACTTGCCGTCGGTGGCTTTTGAATTGGCCGAGGTAAGCAACAAATTGAAAGCGCGAGGTAAAACTGGAAGTGTTATCTTACGCTTCCTACATTCGCAACTGTGCTTAAAGAGGCATTCCCAGTGTTCTGGAAAAAAGCGTAGGGAGATCAGCGCCCGTGAGTGTTAACGCATCACAGCTCGGATCACGTGGTGCGAAATATCGCGCAGCAGAATCCTGGGATTTCGGTTTCAAAGCCCCATCTATATTTGCCTTGATCTGGATGACCACCGTACCGGCGTGCGGTAGCGTATCACGGTCACCACTACGGATGTACGTTAAAAACACCAAATTGGAGAAGAAAGGTAAAAAACACAGGCGAGCTGGTGAATGGTATCCATAATAACCCTGAGAGGAAGGAAAAAAAAAAAAAAACGGACAGTACAACGAAGTCTCTACTAGTAGAGACTTCGTTGTATACTGTCCGTTTTTTTTTTATTTTTCCTTCGTCTCAGGGTTATTACGGATACCAAATTGGAGTCGTACTGCACTAGATAAATTTCTTATTGGTAGCTTAAACCAGTTTTGCCATACCTCAAGGGCAGGCAGACCGACCTTACGATGCCGAAACTCGAATTCCGTTTAAATTCCTTTGCATTGCTTGATAGGAAGCTTTGTGAATAAAAAAAACAGAAACATTTATGTATTGAAATGATATATCCAAAGGTGCACTTAGCATGGCGTTTTGGATGCGCAGTGTTACAGCACAGATGGTGTTTTTAGGTCACGATCCCTGTTAGGCCGTCTCATTCGCTTTATTTTTCTCCAGTCGTAGATACTGGTCTAATGCGTTGTCTGCGAGGTAGTAATGGCATGTGTGACCCACAAGCTATCTGAATCCCTATCTAGGCCTAACGTATTGAGGACGTACGCGTCTCCGTGTCGGGCGTGCACCTCCTAGAGCGTAAGGACGCAGGGCTCAATTTCGGCGTCACATAAAAGAAACACACGCAGGTCACATATTGAACATGCGTTGTTTTTCATCGTTCAGCTGGTACTAGGGTGCTGACAGACTGCTGAATGCGAGCTCCAGTCGAACGCTGGCGTTAAGCTCGTGCGTAACATGCGCCCCGCGTTGGCCATAGGTAGGTGAAGCCAAAAACGGAGAACCACGCCCACGATATTTAGAGTATGTCGGTCTGTCAAGACTTGGGTGCAAGAGAAGAGAGAATGCTCTCCAGGGACGGGTGTCTTTCGTCGTGCCGGGTTAACCTTCCTGTGGTACATCATATAGGAGCAACCAAGCACTTTGACGTGTCTGCCCCTTCCTGGCGACCTTACTGCCGACGCACCCAATGCATCCATTTCCTGCAGGGTACAAAGTTGACCCGAGAGAACAGACAAGGAACCTCGTCGCGGGAGGGCATTCCCTCATGGAGTTTTTTTTTTTTTTTTCGTGGCTGTGATCTTGTCAATCGAGGCAGCGCCGATACTTGATACTTTGGTGAGAAGAAAGCGTGTTTCTGTATGGAGTCAATAAACAGATTTTTTACGGACTCACTGAGTTGCTTCTTTTGTCCTCCCACCGGAAGCTCAAGGCCCTTATCGGACGAACCCGCTATAGCAGTCCATGTAAGAGTAAGCTACGAAGCTGGCTAGACAGAGCAGTCTTTGGGTAACAAAGAAACCGAAAATGTGTGAGGGGCATGCCCTCACACACGAAATCATAGGCATAAAAGAAGAACCGATGAAAATAAATATCTATGTAAAAGCTAAGATAGGCAATTTAGACGTTAGGGATCCATACGATGACTTCTCTCTGCGAAGATGAATGAAATCTTTTATAAGTAAACATTTTATAGAATTCGAGAAAAAAATTATTTCGCGTCTGGAATAACAAATTTTTAAAGCGCATATAAAATTTGAAAACAAAAAATATATAGAGGAGACAAGCGAGCTAGTGAAATTTTCACATTTAAATACCCCAGACTGAGAAACAGAAATATATATGAAAATTGTGAATTAAATTGTGAATTGTGGTATTTGCTTTGATGGCTTTTAGGTCTCAGGTCATCACAATATTGCACAATATAGTATTTTCTGTGGTAATGTAATTATAACTTGTGTAACAAAAATTAGCCAGAACTTGAAATTTTTGTGGATTCGGTTTTGCTTGACGTTGGGCTTATTGGTGAAGGTTTTGTAAGATAGGTATTTAAACAAGACACGAGGTTAATCATGGCTGGTAGGAGTAACTTCTAAAAAAAAAAAAAATAAAACCCCCAGGGTGTCAGCCAACTTCGCCCTCCACTTTGAGGATTTCGACTGAAATGAAAACGTGGAAACGTTTGTAGTAATATTCTCTTGCACCCTTGTTTCTCGGTGGGCCCAAAACCTTGCACATTGTCCTTGATATAGTCGTGGCTGATTAGGTATTTATTTATTTAGTACATACTGCGGACTCTTCGAGGTCCAAGCAGGGTGGGCGGTAAACATAAATAACGCTACAAAGAAACAATGGTTGCACATAAAACAAGAAAACAACGGTTGAAAAACTGCTGCACAGAAATACAAGATATCCAAAATATACATATATAAAAATCTAGTGAACCACAAGGTTATAAAAATGACCTATCAAAATATACAATGACAAAGATAAGAGTGAAGCTACAAAGCTGAAAGCTCCATCAAGATATACATTGGCATAAAGACTCCGTATCGTTCCTCATATTTTAGTCAATTTTAGGTAATAAAAACTCATAATCAACTGTTACGGTCAACTTCCCCAAATAAAAAAAAAAGTGCGGAAAAAAACAACAACTACAGAATCGCAAGCTAAAGGAAGAAAAAAAAATCTCAGATCAGGATGGCATTGTCAATTAACATTTGATTTTGTTTATTATTGGGAGGACAAACTTAAGTGATTAAAACTCACTGATTTGGTTCCTGTCCGCCCCTAGCTTAAATAAAAAGAATATTATATTCGACGCAAACAAAAGAACATATACATGTAATTTCACACTGGTAAAATGTTTCGTCTAAGGTTGAATTATTGATTTTCCTCTGGCATTACTGTCGAGCAGCGCTGCATCAAAGATGTTTCTGGTATTAGAAGAAGCATTATAATTTTCTCAGGCGGAGTCCTACGGTAAGGTCCTTGGGATTTAAAAGTCCAAAGCCAGGATGAAGCTCAAGTGGAACCTGCAGAGGTATTGAAAAACAAAGATTTTAGGAATCGGTGGTAGAAACGCACAGACTAAGCCAGAATAAGGTGCAGCGTTCGAATTAATAACGTCGACGTTCAGTAGATTACCTTTGTTCGTGGAGTGCGTATGAATTCGACGTTGTGAACAGCGTGCAAGATGCAGGTCTTCACTGTTTGCAGAGCAAACCGCATGCCGATGCAATTTCGTGGACCAGCACCAAACGGAAGGTAGGTGTAGGGACGAATTGAGCTGGTATTTTCGCCAATAAACCTGCGGAGAATGCAGATTGGGTGAATATTGAGGTCGTTGAGAAACACGCTTAGTTAAAAACGTTTACATTTTAATATGGAACATGGTTGGCGGTTGCTACTTTGTGTGCCAGAGCAGTTATTATTTGCACCAAAACACATTCCTGTTTAGGTTTTATCACCTGTAGTTCGTGACCATAAGCTGCAGCTACTAGGATAGTACACCTGATTAAAATGGCGCGAACTGGACAGAGACGTTAAAAGGCACGCGTACGAACTACTGGTGCTGACTTCCAACTAAGTTTATTGCATTATCCAACCAAGAAATATATATTATCGCCTGCAAATATAAAAAAAAAACACAGAAATAGTTGTGCATTAATATTATATGTCTACCACGCGCCTACCCTCAGATAAAACCATAAAAAAGGACATTCTTTGTCAATGAGACTCACCGACGGCGTGCTGACGCCCCTGTCTCCTGCTTTTTTGACAAAAAACGCCTCTATACTTTCTTTTTTTGTCTTGTTCTTTGTTCTCTTCAGGAACTTGCGCAATTTCAAAAGCGGTTTACAACCACATAGTTTAACGTGCTAAGCATGATGCTTAGCACCATGCTTCATGGTGATTTTTGTGTTCGGATGTGCGTGTGTGAGTACGGTTATGGTGCTCGTCGACACCAAGGTCTGCTCTTCGACATCTCAGCAGTATAACGATACTGCGCCTCATAAATCGAGGCTCTTCGAAAGGGGGGGGGGGGGAGGGATGTCACGTTCTTGGAGTGTAAATGGGGTGAAGAAGAAGAAACGGAGAAGGGCGAGCTGAAGACAAGCGGAGGGCACGAGGTATGTGTGTCTTGAGGGGGAAAAAGCAAACGACTGTGGCGGACAGCGCTCCCGGCAGCCCAGGCTACGCTCCTGAAAAACCCTGGCCTCGTCCCAGGAAAGGTAACACCGTCGAGCCGGAGTGACATTCGACAGCACTCCTATCAGCTCAGGCTACGCTCCTGAGAGATCCTGGCCCCGTCCTAGGAACGGCAGCACCGTCGAACCGGAGTGGCATCCCATCTCTGACGACCATCCCCTGCCGCACCTCCCAGAAACCTTGGCCTCGCCACAGGAAAGGCAGCACCATCAAGCCCGAGGGACGGCCGGTTGCCGTTCGCCCATCGCAAGCTTGCCGAGCTCAAGGATTTCACCCGGGAGACCGTGGCTCCGACGCAAGCGAAAAGAAGGCGCCTTCGAATCCATCATTACTCAATCTCTGAGTGAACTTCAGACCCCGATTAGACCTTGAGAGGACACCAAGCTGTTCGTGCATCTAGAGTCCTCTCTTACTTAACTCCAACATTTGTTTCTCTTTATTCGATTTCCTTTACGGCCAAATTTATTTTGGTGTGTCTGATTAAATTGATTTCTTCCTTCTACTTTCATGCGTCACTTCAGTCTCCAATTCGCCCTTGTCCCCTTGGAGGAACGTGACAGTGATGATTGCGCAATCACTCACGCGGAACCCCCTGACCGCCAGACGGTGGTTGGATGTCGTCGGAGAAACATCTGCGGCTATGGAGGGTTCCGGAAGTGCGCCAGAGGTCTAAATCCCGGATTAGCGCTGGCAATTTTGTTCCAGAAATCGCTATAGAGTAACATGCCACGAGTTAAGGCAGTCGCTAAACTAACCGCTGAACAGCACAGAGAGCGTAGACGTCCATTCCAGAAGAATCGGACTGAAACCACTCGTTTCGCGTGCAACATAATTGCCTAGCAATTGGTTATGCATTTTTTTGCCTTAATTGTTGATGTATTTTTTATTAAAACGAGAAAGGTAAGATTGTTTGAGTTACATTTAGCTATGTTATAAACGCGCATATTGTAGCGGTGTACCTGTTTATAAGGCGTTGAGTCCGCGGATTTTTCACGAACAAACAAAATACACGTTTATGTACGTTGAGAGCCATTTTGAATCTATGTTAGTTGCCAGACCTACTGGGCAGAACCGCTAGGACACTACCTATACCATAGCACCCCGAAGTAGAGAGTGGAGTTGTTTTTTGTCCAAACAAATGGTAGGCTCCCTAATTAAATACACAATCATGGTTAGTCTTGAGGCGAGCATAGGGCCTTCTAGAGAACCGCAGGACTGCAGCTGAAAGTTCGTGACAGAGTTAGCGAACTCAGGAAAAGGCGAACGAGGTTGTTCCCAACGCAGTCAAACAATATAGCGATGAGCTATGTCTACGTGTGCACTAGGTGAGCGAGCTGCTTAGAAGAACACAAAGGCGACCTATCACTATTGGCTTTGGGAGTTAGCTTTGCTCAGTGGTTGCTCTCTCTCTTTTTCTCTCAACCTCAAAGGCGCAATATTTTTATGAAAACACGCAAAATACGCTGTTCTTTAAGTTCTTTGTCTCCCAAAAAGGTATGTTAAAAAAGACGTAAACTTAACACTTTTGGTTAATTACCACATCTTCGTAGTTCTTATCCAACGACTTATGCATTTTGGTGAAAGAAATTAAAATCGTGCTCAGTTGTTGAATCTTCTCGTCGTGTTTTATTATTTTCGCAAAGTGTTATGATCGGTCGTTGCTTACTAACATCCTTTTTTGTGGACGTTTAGACAAGTGACAGATCGTTAGACTACTCATTTTAATAAACAATAAATAGTACATCAATTTGACATGACGTAGGACTTTTGTTCAACCCTTATCTTGGAAAATTGACCCATGAAGTACTAGGGCAAACCGTGAATGAACAAAGCACAGTTGTATGCATTTTATGAATATAGCTGAGCAACGTTGTAAGCAGGTAAGCAAAATTTTTTTGCAAAGCGTTCATTGAGTTTGGAGCTCTACATTTTCTTGTATTTTCTTTATTTGAATAACATTAATACGGTGAGGTTCCAAATGAAAAGAGTCAAATTGTAATGTGTCTTACTTACCGTTCCGGATTGAACGTATGAGGGTCAGGGAAAAACTCCGGATCATGGTGCATTGAGTAGACCGGAATGGCTATTACACTATCTTTAGGCACTTTGATTCCTGTTTCTCCAAGCACATAGTCAACCATTGGACTCCTTTCCAATCTGAAAATAAACAAGGTAAAAACGCGTTGAATATGTAAACAAAAAACTATTTTTGTTGGTAATCTTCGTACAATCCTGACAGATTCATAGGTTTCAGTGACGTAAGAGAGGGGTTTATTATGTGCATCCCTCCGCCGCAAGGTGTTTTAACGGAATGCTACACACTGTAAAAAAAAAGCCCGTGAGTCTGCTTTCCCGCACAACACTCGGAGAGCCAGTCACCACAACTTACGGAAGCAGATCAGCGAATAGCGATGCCGAAACTTAGGTTTAGACCAAAAAACGCAGTCTGAGTTGTGACATTAAGCAATCCAAGCATGACTTTTTGCATTGCCTAATGTCACAACTCAGACTGCGTTTTTTGGTCTAAACATATGTTTCGGCATCGTCATTCGCTGAGCTGCCTCCGTAAGTTGCGGTGATTGGCTTTCCAATGTTGTGTGGGAATGCAGACGCACAGACATTTTTTAGAGTGCAGCGCATCATAACTTAACTTCAAACAATGCCGAGATACAGATCAGTTAACATGAATGTCATTTCAAAGTGAGGTAACGCCGCGTCCTATAGTTCCACAACGTGTAATTGAAGTGCTACTGAAAATATTATATTTTTATTTTAATTTAGCACACACCATTACCAAATCTTAGTAGAGAATGTTTCTTATTCTATTTCAGAAATTGTCTTATGCAGCACCTCCGGTTTCTGAAATTGATCTAGAACGCTGAGTGATTTAAATGGAGAGTATTTTTTTTCATGTTTGCCGGCGATACCAATAAAAATATTCAAAGGGTAACCGGCGTTCGTTCTCTTGTTAACGGTAGTCCTACTCAGCTCTTAACCACTCTTCATGATCAAACGAATTAATTTACATAAATAATTTAGTTTCTGCGCTTTTTGCACTTGTACTATTTCTGCAACTGAATTTCAGCAAGGGGCACTAAGGCAGAAGAGACAAAATCTGAGGGAGAAAAGAGCATGTGTTGTCCTGCTTTCCCCTCTTGTCTGTGTCAGAAAGCGCTACAGTGTTCTCAGAGGTCCCCTAATTTAGGTTACTGTCTTCTGTTTACTATTTGTAATAAATAAATAAATGATAGTTTCAGAATTTTCAAAAATCAGATTCTCTTTGCCATTGATAATATTATTTTAATAAGTTGAATTTATTTTATAGTATACGTATAAGCTAGCATGCTGTGAATGAAATCTCTACCAAAACAATTGTTTATCCTGTATTTACACAAATACACACAAGATGACTTCGTTTTTTTTAACAATGAATAACACAAGGAAAGTATATAAAAATACTAGTTTCTGGATCTTGAAAGTAATAAGCTCGAGGATGTATAATGAAAAAAATATATATATATTATCGCTTGTTTGTTTTCTTATAAAAATGGTACAAGTTTATGTTAAACATCATGCATGGCGATGCCAAGACGTAGCGTTTATTAATGCGAGATACTCCTCAAGCATGTTTATAATTGTAGGGGGACTTCGGAGGTTGAATATTACCGTGGGGCTGGAGGAAACATCCTAAGTGTTTCTGAGATCACTCCGTTGAGGTAGCTGAGCTTTGATATAGCGTCGTAGGTTGGTGAACCTCCCTAGAATTGAAAGTGTGCAAATCAATTTGCATAATGGGAACTGAAATATCCAGTATGAACGCTTGACAAGTATTTATTGAGAAGTATATAAATTTCAAAAACTGGCCCGTGCAGCATTCCATGGATTATATTTCTGGATAGCCTCTTGACTCGAGCAGATAGACTTTAGAACAAAGTTAATATATGTAAAGGAGCAGTAAAGTGCTCTCTATAGATTGCGTTTTCATTAAGCAAACTTAAGATACACCCAATGGACATTTAGGGAGCAGAAAATTGCAATAGAGTGGTCCTTTACCAATTTAAAACGCGACCAAACATTGTGGCACGAGACAAAGAAAAGTGAGATAAAGAAAAGTAACGTGTCGCGAAGTTTGAGCGCGTTTTTAATAGAAAAAACGACAACACATGAGAGTAACACCGATATTTCTAGGATGCTTAAAACGAGTAAGTTGAGCTATTTACCCAAAAAGGACGAACCCAAACATTGTTTTAATACCCGTTTACTATCGACAGCTTACTTCTATAAAACCAGAAGTGTAAACGAATTCCACCAATTTTCCATCGTCGCATGTCCCGCGCTTTTCTCTAGTTACGAAGCTTCGGTATGATAGCAATGTCGTGTCTTTAATTAGGCTTTTATTTCCTTTTAACGAACACACATTTTAAAAACTAAAGGCGCTGAGGATCTTTTACAAAACAGTGGCATGTTAGGACAAACGTAATGAAATAATAGGTCTCTTTTGCAAAATGAAACCTTCGCACTTATTTCCTTGATAGTACAATGGCTCATGAATATCCATCTGATGGGTGAGCTATTCCTATCAGTGCATATTGTACATATTAGTCGCTAAATTATAAAACAAGAAAAGGTAAATAACTGTAATCTACTCTGTACGCTTAAATAACAAGAAAGAATGAAAGGAAATATCCATTAAGCATCCAAAGTTATGGTTGCAACACAAGTTTAGCAAACATCTACTACATCTTATAATGAAATGGAAACTGCATGCAAGGAACATAAATTTAGGAGTAATCACATGTTTTTCAAAGCAGTTGTCCACTTCTTTCCTGAGCTTTTCTTGTACTTCTGGATTGACAGCCAGAATGTACGAAGTAAATGAGGCCAGTGTGGAGGCCGTGTCTTGACCAGCGAGAAAGAATAGAACGCACTGAGCCAGCGCTTCTTCTTCAGTTAAATCTGTGGGTAATAAACAAATGAAACATTAAAAAAATACAAAAAAAACATTGTTTATTGGAATTAATAAATGGGCAGAGGAGTAGTTGCTTATACGCACTTTTGACAGCTGTCGACTTTTTGCTCTGCAATTCCGAGTCAACATCAAAGATTTCTTGGTCTCGGGATTCGGTTATTTCTGAGGCAGTTGAAACCGCTTCGTCTTGAGCGTTCAGCATCATTTGAAGAAAATCGTCATGTACCTGCCATGTTTAAAAAATTACAAACGAAAAGAAAATGAGTGATGTTCTCGAACAAAGCCCAGACTAAAAATTGGGTTATGGTAACCTACGGCAATGTTTCACGGTTCTTTACCTGCTTTCCTTCCTTTCGCTTCTGAATGATGCTCATTGTCGCCTCCTTGTAGAACTCAAACGCATCCATATTGAATATGTTTTTCCGAAGGGTCTTCATAAACCGTTGAAAGAAGACTGTGAAGTGGAGGGAGTGAATGTTGGCCGGTAAGTGAAGCCCCTGCATTCTTGAAATCTTCCTTAGATGCTAAAATATCCCCGTGTGAGGTACGGAGATAGAGCATGCACAAACAAGCATGATTACAAATTTAGATATATGCGCACAATATCTATTTTTGCAGAAAAAAAACACAATGAATGGTACAATTTTTCCTTTTCTTTCTAATAGCCATTTCACATTTTTGAGGTTAGCATCCTATTCCATCACTACTGCTATGTTCACGATGCATTTTACGCTCAGAAAGACAGCCTGTCTCTCTGTAACTCTTCGTTTCTCAATACACGTGACTTTCTGGAGAAACGGGGCTTGCTCGAACAACTTTCTTTGGGAAGGCAACGGCCGTATTAGCTAGAAGACCGCCATACTTGCCTACGCTGCAAAATACGCCACAATGAACTACGCTGAGTGACACCAGAGCTTGCTTTTTTAACGTCAATCTACTTATCGCATGAGACCAGGATGACAATAATTATATAAGTTGTATTTTTCACTCTATGATTTTGATATATGCGACGTGTCTATCCACATGTTTTACGATTCTGTTAGCTACAAACTCCGGTCTGGGTATTTGAGAAGAACCTTAAATAAATACTGACATCCCCCCAAAAAATTGTTAGCCGTTTTAATAAGGTGTCAGGAGACTACCCAAGAACGATTTTGCTAAAGGGTGACGTATGTCTTTAACAAAGCCAGAAAACTCAACTGCTTTGAACCAAAACCGAAACACAACCGCCGAATCTAATGGCCAGAAGTCACGTGGCTACACCCGACAGCGGTTTTTCTTTCCTCTGCTTTTCCGGCCTCTGAAGCAGACGACGAAGACGGCGACCGTGCGTGAACCGTTTGTAGTTCGGTTGTTTGGCGCTTATATTCCTTCTGCTCCGTGTCCTGCGCTTAAAGATCGATTGGCGGGTACGTACCGCGCCATCGCGTCGTCCAGCCCGTGGTACGTCACCATATTGAGAAGGACGTGTACATGCACTTCCTGTGATCTGTGCAACATTTTTTTTTTTCGATCAACGTTTTTGCAGTTTTTTTTAGGCCAAAAAATAGCGGTCCGTATTCTTTTCTAATTTTACTTTTGAATGTGTGTATTAGATCACTCACTACTTTGAATGTATTTGGTACAAATAGTTTAAACACCAAGTGACCATGGAAGCAAAAGTGAGCGCGACTGAAACAGGTCGATTTTCGAGCGGCTGTTTTCAGGCGGAAAGAGAATGAATTTCGAGCAGTACATTGTGTTCTTAGTTGGGCTCCTATAGGTCATGTTCAAATAAAAATTTTCCACTAGCATAAATCCCGTCTCAGGGCCTCTTTATTACCCATTTAAAAATTAATGATACAAACGCATCGCGTACAAAAGATTTTTATGGGTTATGCTCAGTGTTCTTGATTCGGTGTTCTTCGGTATCAACGTTTGGTGTCGAACATAAAATTTCGGGTTTATCCTGGATTATCTTGAAACAAACAGATCACCGGCGCGGCATCTTCGAATTTCGAAGGAAGATACGCGTGACCCAAACACTTTGAAGACGTCCCCGTATTAATACCCAGAACAAAAGTAGATACGATATACGGTGAAAAAGCCCTGGAAGTTCGCGGTCAGTTCATTGTGGGGTTGTGTTCCAGGTAAAAAACTGATTTAGAGACAGATTTGTTTCCCCTGAAGCTTAGGATTTTTTTTATTCGATGACATCTTGGATTCGGAGTTCTCCCGAAACCGGAAACCCGGAACCCAGGTATAGGCCACAAACAACTCGGCAGAATTATATTACGAAAACCTTGCCTATTACGTACTTGCGAGACTGTTAATGTATCAATAAAAAAAACAAAAAATACTGGGAATTTGGTTTTAATGAGACTTAGAGACAGAAACAAAAAGCTTAGATGAGCGTCATAGATATTTATATGTGAAAGCAAACATTCATGCCATCAGTACAATGGAATCGTGAAGCCATACCGCGACAGACATAATATAAGAGTTACCTCTGTATGCGACAGAGATACTATTTAAAACAAGCTGTTTTAAGATGACATATTGAATTATTTTATTTCTTGAGTCACCAAGAACTTCTTAGTCTACAATGTGGTGCTCCATATGAATGAGATTTGACGAGTAAGGTAAGTAGCGCTACATATTGTTCTTACTAACGGTTATGTAACCTGAAACACAGAAACAAAAGCATTTCAAATATTTCTCTGAATATGTTTTCAGTCAGTTTGTAAGCATATCGGGGGATCTTTTTGTCGACTTAGAATACGGTCTCAGTCCTATATATCTAGGAAAAGCATTTGTCTAATATGTGTGTGTGTGCCAGCTCGTATTCTAAATAGATGTTAATTTGAACATGGGGTGACTAAGTGTCACACCCGCTTTAAAGGCCGCCAATCTCTCCCCAACACCATCATTTATTTTCTCTTTCTCTTTCTTTGGTGTCAGGACCTTTTTCCTTTGACTTTGGTACACACCGGCGTATACAAAAAAGACTGTTCTACGAGGTGCGATAAAAAATATCGAGACAAGTTTTTCAGCGTGAAAAGGAAATGCAACACGGTGGTGCGCGCGCAGGTGTCGAGGGCAGGGGCCTCCATGAATTGCAAACCCAGAGAAAAGCTCACCGGAGCAAAGCTCACCCAGTTTTGTGCGGGTCCGGAGAAACGCTCACCAGTCTTTTGACGGACCCGGAGGGAAGCTCAGCTCGAATTCATCTTTCAGCGCATCGCTACCCCATTCGTAGTTAAAAAATGTTTTTCTTTCTCCCATAGCGCAAGCGATGGAAAAATAATTGAGTTTTTTAACATTGAAAAGGGGGGGAGGGTTTATCGATGCGCTGATTGATGAAGCTTTTTACGACGAGACAGTTTTGGTGGCGCATGTGTGGTTAGTGTGCCTTTAATGTTCTACTGGTTCTTGTTTTCACTATTAAAAAGCTAAGTGCGAGTCAGTGCGAGTCCTGTGTTGTCTGTTCCTTTTCTTAGTCATCGTTGTTACGCGCTATTACACCTACACTATTTTCAACTTGCGCCAACTAGCCCAGCTCCCTGCTTTGGTAAAGTGGTCGTTATCATTTAATAGCAGTAGTGATAACAATGCTTAAGGCGCCTCTCACGCAGGGGGTACACCGTGCAACAGAGTTAGCGCCAAGCGATTTTTCGCATTTTACTTGCAGTAGGGGCTGATCAGCGTCAAACGTTTATCGATAACTTTGTGCCCCGAATGAGCAATTTCCATAAACGAGTAGTTTTCATAGAAATGGCTAAAGTGTAAAGAAGAAAAAAAAATAAAAAGCCCATCATTCGTTCATACGATTGTGTCACGAAGTGTACACACTCCACATCAGGTGGCTCAGCTGTAAGTAAAATGTGAAAAATAATTATTAAAAAACTTTTTAAAAATATGTTAGATATAATTTATTTAAATCAAACTAATATCACTGTAGCTAGAAAATGTTGATTATTTTTCATTATATGCCTTTTTAAACACGGCTGGAGCCCAGGATCTCTGGGTTCCAGGATCCCTGAAACCCAGGGATCCTGGGTTCCAGCCCCACCCCTGCCAGTTTCTATCTGGATGGGCATCGTACCGGCGTGCGGTCGTGTATCACTACTGCGTGACCACGTTAAAGACCCCAGGTTAGCAGTCGCACTGCACTGGCAAAATTGCTCATCTACAGTGTAAACCAGTGTCGCCCCATCCTGGCAGACCGACCTTAGGCTGTATAAAGGCTAAAAAACATCCAATTTGACTTTGATTTTCTGGTTGTTTGATCAATTCTTCCGATCAGTTACAAGAATGCGAAAAACAAGAACTACAGCAATTATAACAACTTTTTTAGGAAAATCCCACCCTACTAGAACAAAGACAGCTTAGTTTTTTTTTTTTGTTTTGTTAGGGGCAAAGTTGTTTTGGCTTTTCTTTTTCGTGATACGATTTTCTTGCGATACGACGTTCCTTTCCCTGTTTTCGTTTCGATATTCGCAAGCTGAAATGACGCGTCACGTCACTGCCGCATTTCGGAACTAGCATGTGCCTTAAATCAGCAATGGCTGTCGTCTACCCAGTTGAGCGAATTTGAAATTAGCAGTGCACAGAAAGCTGGTCAAAAAAATTGAGTCCTCCGAAACCAGTGGCCGGGATGGTCTAATCGGTTAAGGCGTCGCCCCGGATAGGCAAAAGTTGCGGGTTCGGTACCCGCTCCTGGCCCAATTTTTCTCCAGCTCCCTTTACCGTTCCCTAACTTTCATGCAAAAAATGCAATAAACGCCTTCTCTCCTTTTCGTTCACAATATTACTGCGGCTGCACTTATCACTCTCACTCATTACCATTATATAAACGGTGAAGCCTGTCCCTATAGGGAGGAGTGGTTCCCAAGACATCTTGGAAGACGGGCCCTTTCAGACATTTGCGAGCTGAAATGACGTACCAGTGCACTGCCGCAATTCGGAACTAGCAGTGGTCTTAAACCATACATACACATACATACGTGTATTCAAAAGAGTGGTAAATAACTTTTAAATGTTGTACGTGTCAGAGGATATATAAAATACAAGGCATAGTGGTATCGCTAATTTGCTTACCTTGAATGGCCACTAGGAATGTTATCTTCGCAAAAAACGCGTTTTTTGCTGAAATGACGAAGTTGGATGTGTCTTCAGAATCATTTCCTAATTTGGTTCCAAATGCACAGCTGGCTGTGACGTCTAGAGTGAAGTGACCATAAAATCTACGAAAAACATGCAGGATAAAGTTGATGTTAATAAATCAGCACCATGGAGAAAAAGGTAAAGCGTACGAACACATTTTGTAATACGCTTTTCCTAGACACTTTGCAGTTGGCCGACGCTGAATAAAAAGAAAATAAATAAATCATAAAACGAAAATAATTGAACGCCAATACATATTTGAGCCATGTTCGGGATTCCAGGAAAGTGGCGCTCTTTTATTTTTTTAAATTTCCCACATTGTGCACACAACCCTGGTAGTTCGATATCCTCGGTATGCTACTAATGCAGAAAACAGTGCCCAGCGTCGAACAGGCGAATACGAAAATATGGCGTTGTAGCATTGATATTATAGCGGTACTCCTGAGGCGCGTGCCGGGAACCACGGAAGACGAAGAAAATTCGCGTGAAGACTGCTTGTGACACCCTTCTAATCTGGTGTTATTTGGTTATGGACGTTCTCTTGTAAATTAAAAACGTAACAATATGATGAATCCATATAGGCTCGAGCTCCCAGCAGCTCCAGCTTTTCCAAAAGAACAGCTTCAAGGATTTCCATAAAAATCGGGTCTCGGTAGCAACATTTTTCTGTTCTAGTGCATTATTTATGGGTATTCAAGTATCGCGGAGGAATGTTTCATGAAGAGAGAGATCGAATTTCGGCTAACTTCTAGCAGAAAGCTGCCATTCGCAGTAGGTGCATATATGGTGCATGTATGGTTAACAGGTTGCCCCGATGTACAACGTGTATATGACTTATACACATGTATACGTCTATAATATGGATTACTTACCTGTAAATATGAATTATACACGTGTATACGTGTATAACGAATCAAGACTTAGCTTCCCCGTTTTAATTTTATGATAAAAGACGGGAGCGAGTGCTGGTTTGTAAAGCTAGCACAGGATCGCACTGGTCTTATGCACGACGTAGTCGTTCATTCCAATTTGCTGCCTCCGTTATACTTCTTCGTGCTTCAAGCTCAGCTTGCCCGCAGTCCCTGGCTGTCCGTGCCAGAACATCTGGTTTGTTATCACTACGAAGTTTCTGAAAGGCATGTGTCTGCGGAAAGCCGTTAACGCTTGTTTTCGCTGAACGCAAGGATGTTAGAACCAACACAGTGAATATCGGTTATATACGCAAAAACACAGAAACCCGAAAAGAACAAACAGAGTTGTGAGATCGCCACATAACACATCACGATGACAGCAGAAAGGTGCGTTTCGACACACTTCCGTACGCACACCGGTGGGACACATCCATAGCTGCCGAAGTAACACCGTAATGAATTTTGACGTCATAAAAATACTCTTTCAAGCCTTCGCACACCGCCGACTTCATGTTACCTGTGTCCCTTGTGCGAAATGGCCAAGTGAACTAACAAAACTGTGACCAGTCATTAGGCTCGCAAATAAACTCATAATATCTTGAATGGTGTTTCGTTCCAGCCGGAAATAAGCGAATGAAATTCTGCTCTGAAATTGTGCGCAAAGGATGCTCTTGACGTAGAGGTGTCCGCAATGTTCGTGATGCTGTGATCATGCTTCTTTGCGTAATACTAAGTACTGGCACAAAACTCAAACTAACATTTAAACGGCACTCTACTAATGTAGACCCAGACTCCCGTAGATTCTTTGACACGGTAAGGCAAGCAAGCTGATCAAAGAACTAAAATAAATAAACTTCTTACGATAAGGACCCGAAATAACTCTTTTGATGCTATGCAAAACAACGACACGAACACTCGTATGAAGGGTGCTTGGGGTCATTGCAAAATTAGCACACAAGCCAAAAGTCGAACACTGACATAATAACGGTGATAATGACGTACTTCATAGCCGGACTGTATCATATCTGTGTTATTAATGTTTATGTTTCAAAGTGATTTTGGAGCTCGAAATGCGTATGATAACGTATTTACTGTAAAGGAATACAGTAAAGAAGGCAATAAGAAAATACTAGCTCAGAAGGCAAGTACATCCTTTTATATTTCATCAAGAATGTCATGAATTGAAAGTGCGATGCGCCTTTGGTGGGTGGTTTGGATATACGAAAACGCTCTTCGAAGCTTGACGTTCCTGTTTATAACCGCTGATATAAAAATCTTCCTAGTCGTGGAAGTTTTCCTTTCGGACAGCATTAAGCATATTTGTTCACTATTTGTTTATACCATAGTGAGGTTGGGAGAATGAGAGTAGGGGTTGCAATGGAAGAAAAAGGTCCCAAACCCTGGCATCGACTACAGTACTACCCCGAGGTGGACACCTGAGAGGATCAAGCTTTGCAGTAACATTAGTGGGGGCTTTACAAGTGCACTCTCAGAAATATGGGGTGCAGTACTTACACCCCTGGCCCCATATATAAGACTCAAAACTACATTTAGACGTTTTTCAGTTCACGTCCAACTGACGTTACCAACTTGTACTAGCGGATTGATAGCCATATGATAGAACTTACGAAATAGCGAATGTACATATAAAAAAAAGCACACTGAGGTTTTTGCAGCAGGTTGACAGAACCTTAAGTGTTCTTTGTAGTATTTAATTCTTAGATTTACTATTTCAATAAGTTGCATTACTCGACTAACAAGCCACTCATAAAAGTTGGTATCACCGATTCGACGTCAGCGGACTGAACGTCGATTTGTAGTTTTTTTTGTAGTTTACACAAGGCGTGGAAATACTACACTCCCTATTTCTGAGAGCATGATCTGTTCGACAAATGACTTCCCAAAAATAATAGAGCTTCACCCCAGGCCCTCTTTCCCAAATTACAAACAACTACGCACCTACCGTTTCATGTCAACGTCAAGCTCTTTTTCTGCTGCGTTCTTCAGCTTGCGAGACATGTGTTGGGCACTTTGCTCAATTAGGTCGTGCATCTGAAAGTAAACAAAAAATTAGGAGAATGAACAAAGGAACAAGACAATTTGTTTACAATTTGAGCTGGACTTGACTGAAGGGTAGGTAATTACCGTTTTGCTAGGCGCATATATTGTGGAGATGCAAGTCGAAAAACGTCATATTTTGCAAAAAAAGAAAGGTCAATTCAGGTTTTATGGTCTGTAATAATCTTTGAACCTTGATATGTTGGGTTCATGGATTACAAGGAACAATTATGATCTCAAAAGTTGTCAGTGGTTAGAATTTATATTTTTTATCTTTATAAAAAAATAAGGAACCTTTGTTACAAACGCCTATCGAGGATAGCGTCTCTGGAACGTTCAATTATATTAAAATAAAGTATGTATCACAAACATAACATTTTTTTGTTGTTCGCTGCACTTCGGGGTTTAAAAGGAGCAAATGAAATTATTTTATTAGGCTTTCTTAAGTATGTTGATAAAGCCACTGAGTGCGCAAAAACATGTTTTTTTTTGTGCATAAGCATTGCATCCAGCACACAAAATAAAATCTATATTGATACTAGCATCATATATATATATAATGAAACGTGTCCCAGTTTATAATGCTTGAGTTTATATATATATATATATATATATATATATATATATATATATATATATATATATATATATATATATATATATATATATATATATATATATATATATATATAAACTCAAGCATTATAAACTGCGACACGTTTCATTTAGTTATCGTAAAGAATAATAAAAATGTGTCCTCTGGCGCAGGTTTTGTTTAATTACTTATTACAGAACGGCCACGTTCATTACCTTTCTCAGTTTTCCTGTTGTAAAAGCCGGGCTTGTGGCAGAACGAATTTTCTTCCATTCCTTGGGGGGCACCACTGTCATCATGTTGGCCAAGTACGGGTCGTCGAATTTCGGATTCTAGGAATTTATTCAATAGTAATTTAGACTTTGAAGTGTTGAAGTGATTTTTCGCGCTACACAACTAGCTTATACACAGAGCATCGATAACCTTTATGACATTGCTACACGATCTGCACTTCAAACGTACTATCGCACTCTAGATATAGTACTATTTAATAACAGGTTTCTACACATTCGAGTATATTAGACACGTGCGCAGCTGCCAGTAATAAGTGCTGTGTTGATCCGCCAAAGCTTTATTTGCGAAAGCTCGAATTATGACAAAAACATTGCACTGGCATGTAACATGTATAAGACACCGCCCCCCCCCTTCTACACTGTTGCATAGATAAGCATGATTTATGTTATGCATAGAAAGGAAAATCCAACCAGCGATAAGGCAATAATTTAGGGTGTATGCCATGGCAGTAATACTAATTGATTTATATGTTTGTTGATAGGTTCGCTAGGCCAGAGCCTACTTTATTTACTGTGGAGTGTATGTACATTGAGGGAATTTTGTATCATACGTTTAAAAAGTATTGCACCGAATACGCTATAGAGGAAGGCTAGGCACTTTCCAGAGTTACTAAAAAGATTTACACCTTGTGTGTAGATCTAAAAAATGCAAGTCTGTTGACCAACATATAGGCGTGTATCAAGGCGTAATGCGACGTATATAATTTAGATTTATGTTTTTAAAAGAATGCTGAACCGTTTTTTTTATTTATGGAAAAACACATAAATCGTCTTCATGTGGCCTCCAAAATTACAAATATCAGGTTTTTCTTTTTTGGTTTGTTTGTTTGGTGCATTTAGGTTGTAGAAAAGTATTTTCAAAATACCGCTGAAGCTTCTTTTTTTTTTTGGGGGGGGGGGGGAAGGGGGGGGGGGGGTGCGTGACGTGATATCAAGAGTTTTCGGAATCTCGACTTTCGCGCATCTTCAGCTTCTGTCAAAGCTAAGCACTCATGCTATATTCAGAAAGTTTAGAAAAAGACGTCCCTACTGGTGCCTGTGCCGAGGAATACACCTGGTAAGTTTGCAATTGCGCGCTGCCCTCAGGAGCGACACGCACTTGGCGGCCGAAATGTCCTGATATATTGCGTAACGACTGGTTGGAGGATTTTCGTGTTTTCTCGCGTTTAGGTGCACCTTTCAGGAAAACAAACGTAATATTCACATACACGGGATAAAACTGGTGTTTCCGTCTTCTGAGTGGCTGCAATGTATACATCGCATTTGGGTCTCTAGAGGTTCTGGGCAGTGCGGCGCTTTAGGCATAGCTCTCTTTTAATTCAAATGGAATGATCTTTAATATATTTTTCTTTCTTCACAGTAATTATTAGTGATAGTTGTATCCCCAAATTCGTTTGAACGTTTAAGCTGAGACACACTTTATGAATCCTTATGAACAGTTTCTCCAATATGAATGACGGTTGGGGTGAGCGCTTTTATGATCTCATGGACCCCCCAACCTTTTCATAACCTAAGAAGATGGTAGAAAGTATTGACTCACAACTCTTTGGCTAAGCGCGAAGTCCTTGACAAATATGTCCTTGAGGAGCTCCGGCTCAGCTACATAAAGAACTGGTTTGCCGTCTTCAAAGGATCTGAAATATTTGTGATATTTTCATGACAAATCAAATTAAATATGACATAAAAGCACAAACTTTTGTACCAAACTTACCCAAACAAGCGTCCGTATTTTTTGTAGAGAGCTCCTTCGACAACTTGAAACGGCTGAAATATAGAGCAGAACATGAAACAACGCGGTTAACACAGTGGGTTTCCCTTTGTGGAAAGGGGGGGGGGGGGGTGGAGTGGAAGAATACAACGTAGAAACACAGTATGTCTGCGTGTCCATAGAACGACGTGTATTGTGACTCAAGTGTCAACACGCTTTGCCCTCGATAAAGTCATAAGTATCGGTGCTGCCTCAGTGTGAGAAGATCACCGGTCGGGCTGCCGCAATAGGCAGATTCACGTAAAGCGGACGAGCCTCAAGCAGAGCCCCATGGAGCAAGGCCCTTCCTCGCCGAGGGCCTATCGGTTATTTGAGGGAGGGCTAATATAGCCTGCGGGAAATGGAGGAGCCCGTGGTTGACGGTATACTCCGTTCACCCCTAAGCTGAGACGACGGTAGAAGCTAAGTCTTCGTTGGACCAGTCACACGTCTCTCTTTCGCCACGTGGTCACGCTTTCGCCCATATGCACCAGGGGGGTAAAGGTGGGTGAGGAGGAGTGGCAAATCCCGTGCGCCGACATCCTGGGTCCCGAGTGAACGATCGCGAAAGAGAGCGACAGAACACGACAGAAAGAAAGCAACGTTGCCATGGTAAACGCGAAGAGTGTAAACTCTCAGCAATATAAACAGTGATAATTTAACGTTGTAAACTAAATCCTGAGCTATTCTAACGCTTATAAAAAGCAATAAAGTCATTACGCTGCATTAACTTCCCTTCTGTCGAAATCTCGGAAATCTGGTGGTTGCGCAGTTTCGTATTCCTCAACCGCGCCCAGCCGCGCCCCACCAGCGAAGCCGGGTATATGGTTTAGTTTAGCGTTAACGCGAAGCCGTACATCTGCGCGCTATGCAAAAAGAAACCTTCGAAAGGAACGCGAGTATTTTTCCACCGGTAAGTTCGTGGATTGTTGAAGTTCACGAAACTGCTCTGATGATGTAACCGTGTTTGGGACCCAGAGGGTCTGCCTGCATGGTCCGCCGCTTGCGGCAGCCAGAATGTATGGGAAAATGGCGGACCTTTTCCTCTAAATTTAGTTTATGATCTCTATGATATGCACCCGTAGAGAGCCGGGTCAGGTGACGAAAAAAAGTGAAAGCCGTTTACAAATCCCTGTAACGCCGAATTGGAGCGCAGCTCTTGAGGAGGAGGAGTGAAGGGTACTGAGGGGAGGGTAGACCCCTCCTCCTCCCCTCATTCTTTAATATGCTCCGGGGGGGGCGGTCACGTGACCTCGGGGGGGGGGGGGGGGGGGTGTCACGTGACTTCGGGGAGGGGGGTCACGTGACCTCGGGGGGTCACGTGACCTCAGAGGGGTCACGTGACCTGGGGGTCACGTGGGGGTCACCTTGGGGTCACGTGACCTTGAGATGACCTTGGGAGGGGCCACGTGACCTTGGGGAGGAGACCACGTGACCTCGGGGTCACGTGACCTCAGAGGGGTCACGTGACGGGGGTCACGTGACCTTCAAAGGGTCACGTGGGGTCTTGGGGTCACGTGACCTTGAGATGACCTTGGGAGGGGTCACGTGACCTCGAGGGGTCACGTGACCTTGGGAGTCACGTGGGGTCACGTGGCCTTGAGATGACCTTGGGAGGGGTCACGTGACCTGGAGGGGTCACGTGACCTTGGGGGTCACGTGACCTTGGGATGACCTTGGTTACGCCGACGGCGACGGCGACGGCGACGGCGACGCCGCTCAAGCCGGAAACGGGCCCCTAAGAGCTGCGCTCTAAAAGAAGCGGCTGATTGGTCTGGCGAGCACGTAGCTCCCACTTCAGTCTCAGCTTATGGGTGAACGCAGTATTCTAGGTTCACCCCCGGAGGGACGGGCGCTTCCATTTATGAATCTTCCCGAATGTTGTGCCAGTGACAGGTCACCCGAGAAAGGCGAGGGAGAGCCGTCCGCAGAAGCCTTATCTCGTACCCGGTTAGCGCGGAAAGCCTGCCTCAGATAGGCCTATAGGGATGCGGAGAACACATGGTTCCCACTTCATCTAGTTCTTTCTGTTTCAATAGAGTCTGTTGCAATTTAACCCCGAATGTATTTTAGAACTGCATTTCATGTGTCCCATTTTAAGTGTCACGTTCGAATGCGAAGAAAAATCGTTGCACACGGGTAAAGGAAAAATAAAGAATACATAACGTATAGTTTGAAATGCATAATCATCCATACTAAGTTATATATTATTTACCCACGCGCAATCATAATTAGGTGTAATTAATAATAACAGAAGATATTTACGACGCAGCTCGGCATGAATAACCCCGGTCCATGTGATCCGCACCCCGATGTCTTTGCATGGCGCGTGAGCTGACGCAGGCTCCCGTGAGATACCGCAAGGGGCTCTTAGCAATTCAGGAATATTAATAGCGAAAGGCACAACACGCAAACCTCCGAAGCAGAACCCATTAAAACTCATTCAAGCAGATTCCTCAGACTACGGTTATAAATAAAATTAAAGTTGTCTAGATCATTTCGATAAACAGAAGGATACATGTGTATGTCGTTTCTGCAGCGCATCTGAAACCCCCTAAAACTCCCACGGCAGCTAAGCATAAAAAAAGAAAAAAAAATAACGCGCGAGTAATGCACGAACCACATATTCTGTGCTCCTCGAGTTTATTAGAAAGATCAAGCCAAGTATTTTTTTTTTCAAATATTCCATAATTGTTATGCGAACGGAAATGTAGTAAATGTACGCAATAAAATGCTGCGAGAAATCAAGGTAATTTCAGATCACTGGAAACGTGAGTTCATTAGTGTCATTAAATGGCATGAAATATGTATAATTCCACGCTTTATTGATGTCTAAACAATGCTCAGGATCTCATGATGTCACATTTTTTCATAGGCGATTGTGGACAGATCCACCCTCCAACGAACAACCTTGTAGAAACATGACTCGTGCGTGATACATTTTGTTTTCATCCTTTTTTTCTGGGTGGGAAAACCTCACCAAGTAAAGTTTTTATAATTCATTTTTCAGAAGCGCCCTATTTGTTATGAAGATATCTAATTGGCAACTCTAAGGTGTAGTTTTTCTACACTCCTCTTAGTGGAAAATACAAAATAAAGTTAGTAGTACTTACAAAGTTTTGTACTCAAGACCGTTTACGGTACTTTTCAACACTTCAAGATTCATGCGTGACAATGTGTGACTATAAGCAGTCTATATATTTTTTTCCATCACTCACTCTAGTGTTTTTGTGTATCTCTTTTATTATTACTCTAATACTCATGTTATATTTTTAATTGTCATTGCATTGCCTTGTTTTTGGTAGTTGCCGAGACGGGCGAGTTGACTCTGCATCTGATATGTTTATAGTTACCACCTTGTCACCTATAATTTTCTAAACAGATGGCCGTTAATTAAATTTACATCCACCGTGATTTTATACTACTTTGTCATAACATATAAAGCACAAATAAATTGTTATAAAAATAACGCTCTGCATCTCCCCACCAACGAAAGTCTGGGTTGAAAGAGCGTAGAAAAGTACAAAATGTACACGTGACATGCGTAATCCGTTCATTACCTAATCATTCGCAAATATTTTGACTGCACTTGTCATAGTGTGGTAATTAAAGTGTGTTATATTATATTTACAGGTGTTGTTGGAGAAGTCTTTAGCCCAACGGCCGTTAAACGTTTCAATCGTGACCAGACTTAACTGAGCTTAAAACACAGGAAAAATCAAGTTTGGCGTCACAAAATCTTTTAAAATAATAATGTAGATTAATTCTAGGTGTAATTTTTATGCTGAGAAGCAAATATTAATTTTATAACGCGTGCATCTCTTTTTTTTTTTTTGGGGGGGGGGAGGGGGGAAGGGGGCGTTATAAAAACGAGTATCAAAATATATCGGATGAATGCCCACAAGAGATATTTCAGAGAATGCGCCTTGCAAGTGACGGTCGTAATGGTGGCAAGGTCCGCAAATGCTTTGATCGTTTTAAGAGTACCTGTGTCCTCTGTACATGTCTTGTTAACTATGTTTGCCACCGTCTCTAGATATCTCCCCCTGTATTCCAAAGAATTACGCGATTCCGTAACGGTGTTCATCGATGACAACGCCGCAGTCGGCATCACCTTGAACTCAGCGAAACCCAGCCAGTTTAGAGCTAACGTGGGAAAAAGCTCAGTTGAGTCCCTCTGCCATTAGCGGCTTAACAAGAGCGCAACCGTGTAGTCCTGATCACTGAAACTTGAGCCAATGGTCGTTGGCTCAACAGCAGCTCAAAGTGTTTTTGTAACAAGGGTGTTCGTACCTAATATCTTAAAGGAACGCCCTATTAATATTGAAAAAGAGTTAGAAGCGGCTGTCTGTAAATATTGTTTTCTTTACAACGATTTTTGTACTTTAATTGGGCAGTGACAAAACTAAACTGTCAAAGTAACACGAGTCATGTCATCGCGTTATGTTTTAAATTGATTTCTACAATAGAACAAATGTCTTTAACCAGAAACACTTTGATACTTCGCTCCCCTTCCACTGCATGTTACGGTGTTTATTGCAATAAAACGTGTATCCCTTTTTAATCCCGCATATTCTTAATTAGGTTAAAACAAATTTCCAGGTACAATAGAAACATGGTAAATCATGTTTACCAGCAAAAAAAAAAACACAACTAGGAAACAGGACGCTCACCTTGAATATCAACTGGAACGTAGATCCAAAGAAAAGTGAAAAATTTTCATGGGGCACATTCTGATCTTTCCAGTAGTTCCGGTACCTACTTGCATGCCTTTAAAGCAAAAGGAATGGCAAAAAATATATAGGGTTCTTGTTTATGTTAAACATGAAACTTAATAATGTTCTTCATCATAGCTTAGACAAGATTAAGCAATGTTATGCAAATAATATGTTTTGCATGGTCAAGCACTATGGCACGCTCATACTTGAACGATGAAAAGAATTAAAATGAAAGTACCTACACTAAAAGAGAAAATTCTTAGGCATATTTGAAAACGCTAAGAGAAATTTGAGTAACAATAGAGACTTTAGTACACAGACATTTCGGAGGGTCTTTCCTCCTTCTAATGAAGTCAACAGGCAGTTGTAGCTGCCGGCTGTACATACTTTAAGATGAAATGACTTTCCGAAACGTCTGTGTATTAAAGACTCTATTGCTATTCGAATTTCTCTTAGCATCTCCCAATATGCCTAATAATTTTCTTATTGAGTGTAGATGAACAAATTTCTATTAACTTTGATAACTTGGTGAAAAATATATTAAGGTGATTCAGTGTAATAGAAGAAAATAAGTGATATCACTTACATAAACCAAATTTGTCTAATATCAGATGAAGATATCAGAATAAGACGAATCAACTTTTGAGTGACACGGGAAATCATATTGATATGAATTCCCATAAGACAGAAGTAGACTAAGACATTTGCCAAAAATAGACTCGTAAAAACAAGTTCGCGACACAAAATAATAATTAGGTATACACGTTGGATGGTAGGAAAACAAAATTGATAAAGGTTTTACAGTGTTTCTGAAGCGCTTCATGACAGGTTTGCGAAATTGCATTCATTGGCAGCTTATATAGATACTGAGATTGTCACAAAGAGCGAGAACTTTCGTAGACGAACAGGTATATATAAAACAATCTCGGGCGCTCCAGGCCTCACAAATGAGTAGTAGGAATGGGCAAAAATTGCGCTGTTCCACTCAACGCGCCTTGAGAGAGAATGTTGTGGTACTTGATATTACACACTTGCTGTCTATTTCAGTAACCTCAGAAAAAAAAAAGAAAGCACTTTGCGTCAATGTAACGGTGTTTCGCAAAAAAAACAACAACAACAACAACAAAAAACGTATCTATGTTAGCTCTGCGAAATCAGTAACTGGAGCCAGTTCTTTAAGAACGCATGCTGATGGGTGTGTAATTTGTCTTATAAGGCAAGTTACCTCGCTGGCACTCTTCAGGACTAAAGAGACATGAACTTGTTTACGTTGTGAATATTTTTGTGGAAACATTCTCTTGGGCTAAGTAATGTTTGTTACGAGAGCAATGCATCGCTAGTTTAGTCAACTATCTTGATGGAATAGCGAATTAAATGTTTTATGTTACTTGGACGGCATTCGGGGTAGTTACCTGCACTCTGAGAAATTCCTGCGCTTCTACTTACCTGCAAAGCACTCAAAGAGGAAATCAACAACCAACTCAGCTACCTCAAAATGAACTCTGCGCCGTGGCATTACGCAATGTAAAGCGTCATGCTTGCATTGCGAAATGCCACAGTGCAGACTTAATTTTGAGGTTGAAACAAATATTGCGCGTCATCATTCGCTTAGCTGATTTCGTAGATCCCAGAGATTGGCTCTTTGAGTGTTTTGCAGGTAAGTAGATGGGCAGGCATCTCTTAAAGTGTACACGAAAAAAAAAAAATCTGAGGACACCTAAGCACTTCTCATGAGTTGTGAATCCGAAAGCATGAATGTTTTTCTTCCACTCCCGTAATTCGTCTGCGGTGTATTAGCGTGGACGGCCACGTTTCGCTACTGCCGAGGTTGCGGCCGGCGGCCGAGCGCGGGCTCTCGTGAAGAGGCCGCCAATGGCTATCTAGGAGACGTCTTGCTCAGATAATGAGGAAATGGGCTTTTCTTTCGTGTTTTTTTTTGTTACAGACGCCGTTCGTTTTGTTACATGATATAATTAATGCTTTCGCACTGGAAAATATTGTACCATTGACAGACCAAAAGCAACTGCACCATTACTTAATATTTCCTTTAAACTATACAGTGGATCGTGTGCAAAAAATGTTTTATGGTTATTATCAATTTTTATTAAGGGTGGACATTAAAAACATAAATTGCAGTAAAAACCACCGACCCGAGAACATCATCACTTTTAAGGATTTCATGTTGTAAATTGTGATGACCGACAACTATTTTTCGGTCATGATGATAAACTTCACTGGTATTTTTCTAGGAAAAATATCTTTATATAATCAAATATATAAAATATACATTTTTATAAAAAGTTATACCAAATGAAACATAAAACGACAGCAATCCTCGTAATCAATAACAGTAGGCACATACATAAATTTGCGAGGCAGTTTTTCATTGAGGTAAAAATATATGTTTTTGACATTTTTTTTAAAATGAAGATAAATATAAAACAACACTCACAGGTACAACAAAAATCCAGCGGCCAAAATTAATGGCACCCATTCTGGAATCGAAAAATAGCTGAACACTTGCATCATTGCTCCGGATGGCTGCTGCACAACTGAGGGTGTTGTGACATTGCGTCGACCGTACTCGAGCCCGCTTATATGGAAATTCCGAGTTACGAAATCTTATCTGGCAAGAGATTTTCTATTTGTTCAGACGACGTGGCATCTAAGATTATGACGCCTCGTGATACAAGACAAACTGATATCGAAGATTGTGATGCCTCGTGCCAGAGTGAGGAAGTGAAAAAGAGCATAATGACACGTGTAGGCAATTTCAGCGAGGTCAGTGTGGAGTAGCTAGTAATAGAGGCAACGGAGGCTTTATATACCTTCAGAATGCCTTTATACGTTGGTCTGAGAGATGTCTGCGTTAACTATATTTGTACAAAAAAAAATGGATTTATTTATTTAAATAAAAAATAAAGAGCTGAAAAAAGGAGTCATTTCTTATGATTCACACAATAATCTCTTGCCAACAGTGTTCAACCATAGAAAAACTCTTGCGACTATAATCCCATTTCAAAGTACTAATAACTTGTACATTACGTGTTACAAGAAACGCGTAACTTGTATCTGAGCACTTTTTTCAGTAACTAGGTACAGGTAACGCCAGCATCTCGTTTCTTAAAGAGCAACTCTGCTTCATTTTTGTTTTTGAAGAAAAAACACAGCCCTCTTTAGTATAACCTAGGAAGGCCACACTTCAAATATTACTACCTAGTTCTGTCTAAATGTTTGTTAAACGGACCGGCAAACTTTACAACGCGCCATGTTGCCGAAATCGGCTGACACTAGCGGGCGACTTCCGGCGCAACCAACAGCGTATAGTCGAAGCTACGGCGCTGGCGGAGCCAACATTGAGCTAAAGGACACCACCATTACCCGTCCTTGTTTGTTTTCACTTCTCAGGCAAGTGTAACCGGTGACGTCAGCAACGTTTCCTCTCGGCGCTCAGCGGTATCCACGTGATTGGGCTAACACCGCTGCGCAGCACGCATCTTCGGAGTCGTCCGGCCGACCCGCGGTTTCCGATATCAGCTGTCGTCGTCTCGCCGTTCGTGATTATTGCCTGTCTAAGTTTCGTTCACACTACGTGCGCAGACTGATGCCGCATTTATGCAGACGTCGCAAAATGTCGTAGACACAAAAAATTGGTGAATAATGTGGTAGAGGCGTGACACACCCGCCCGTCGTGCGCCGAGGATGACGTGGCATCTCGTACCACGTGATACGAATGTTTTAAGGCGTCTCGAGGCCGATGCTGCCAGACGGAAGTTCCGCTTTCGATTTATGCTTATCTTTAATGTAATATTTAACAATAACTATCCCATTTTTCGCAAATCAAATTACGTGGTGCCTTTTATTAGGGCGTTTTTAATGGGAATTAATTAATTATCCCGTAATTTTCGTAGTTGAGCGGAGGTGCCCTTTAAGAGCGTGAAACAGAGTCACCTCCTGAAAGCCGTTTCTTAACATAACTCAATTTAGAAACGTTAATGTGAGCCAAACAGCCATTATAAGTAGTCATATGGTTTTTGACAATAAAGAATCCCTGTTGGGAAAGGCCGCAATTCCTGTAATTCTTTTCCCTTCAGATTACTAAAGTGCTCGCTAAAATACAAGGTGCGCGTAATAATTTTGGTAAACAATTCAAATTTGAAAATTATTTATTGGAGTGCAACAGTGGGTGTGACTCCAACTAACCCCAGCGTGGTCGGATGCCCCACGGGGCGTTTTGACTGGAAATTGAACTTTGTCATATTTGCAATCCGTACGCTTTTGCTGCACTGCCAGACAAGGTAGGAAAAAGCTTCTGAATTAAGAGAAAAAAGGAGCCTAGGCCTACTCTTTAACGCACCTTAGACCATTCAAAAGCAGATTTCACACTAGCAGGTCTTCTGTGAACCCAAGGAACAGTTCGAAAAGCAGGTTGAAAAAAGTAGGAGCTGAAGTGCATGAGCCTAATGAACCTAGAGGAATTTAAATGCGAAGAAAATATTTCGCTCTACGAATTCACGAATATAAAGTACGCAATTGCTCGTTTTGTTTATAGCCATAGAAAAAATATGCGGAATGCAAAGAACAATACCTGAAGTGATATTGAATGTCGTACGTCCAATTACGATTACATTCTCTTTCTATAATTTATTTTCTGGATAAGGAGTCCTTGTTAAAGATGGCAAAAAGTATTCATCGCCTAGGTGACCCTGGTCTCTAGTACATTTCAACGATGTTTTGCATCATGCACGAGCTGTTTTGAACGCTACATTTGTTTTTGTAAACCTTGTACCTCTATGGCACAATTCGCTTTGTCACGAGACGCCATTAATGTGAGTCCCCTGGAGGGATTCTTATCTATCTAAGATAATGCACAAAAACATCATTGACGTTATTTACAATCTCCAATGATAAGTGGGACCGAAAACAAGTTGAGTGGTTCTCGTATCAGTTCTAGATTAGAGACCTTGCGCAAAATCGGTTGCAGTCTTGACAGAATATATTTCAAAAGTCCAACAAGCTACTCCTACTTACAGTTAAACCACAATCTTAGTT